ATAAATACGGAAAAATTGAATCAGTTATCAAAAATTTCCCAACAAATAAGAGCTCTGGACCAGATGGCTTCCCTGAGAAATTCTACCAGACATTTAAAACAGAATTAATACCCATTCTTCTCAAGCTATTCAAAAAAATAGAAATCGAAGGAAAACTTCCAGACTCATTCTACAAGGCTAACATCACTTTGACTCCCAAACCACAGAGAGACCCAGCAAAATAAGAGAACTACAGGCCAATAACCTTGATGAATACGGATGCAAAAATCCTTAACAAGATACTTGCAAAACGAATCCAACAGCACATAAGAAGAATTATCCACCATGATCAAGTAGATTCATTCCTGGGTTACAGGACTGGCTCAATATTCACAAATCAATCAATGTAATACATCACATTAACAAAAGAAAAGATAAAAGCCATGTGATCCTGTCGATAGATGCAGAAAACGCATTTGACAAAATAGAGCATTCCTTCTTAATAAAGACCGTCGAGAAAGTCGGGATAGAAGGAACTTAACTTAAACATCATAAAAGCCATCTATGAGAAGCCCTCAGCTAACATCATCCACCTCTCAATGGGGAAAAACTGAGAGCTTTCCCCCTGAGATCAGGAACACGACAGGGATGTCCACTCTCACCACTGTTGTTTAACATAGTGCTGGAAGTCCTAGCATCAGCCATCAGACAACAAAAGGAAATCAAAGGCATCAGAATTGGCAAAGAAGAAGTTGTTCACAGATGACATGATACTCTACATGGAAAACCTGACAGACTCTACCAGAAGCCTACTTAGAACTGATCCATGAATTCAGCAAAGTTGCAGGATACAAAATCAACGTACAGAAATCGGTTGTATTTTTATACACCAATAACGAAGCAACAAAAAGAGAAATCAAGAAAATGATCCCATTCACAATTGCACAAAAACCCATAAAATACCTAGGAATAAACCTAAACAAAGGTATAGGAGATCTGTATGATGAAAACTATAGAAAACTTATGAAGGAAATTGAAGAAGTCACAAGAAAATGGAAAAACATTCCATGCTCGTGGATCAGAAGAATAAATATTGTTAAAATGTCGATAGTACCCAAAGCAATTTACGCATTCAGTGCAATCCCAATCAAAATTGCACCAGCATTCTTCTCAAAACTAGAACAAACTATCCTAAAATTTGTATGGAGCCACAAAATAGTCAAAGTAATATTGAAGAAGAAAACCAAAACGGGAGGCATATCATCCCAGACTTTAGCCTCTGATGAATAGGGCACATGTACCCCAATGTTCATAGCAGCACTCTCAACAATAGCCAAATATGGAAATAGCCTAAGTGTCCATCAACTGACAAATGGATCAAGAAGATGTGGTTTATCTATACCATGGAATACTACATGGCAATGAGAAAAAATGAAATCTGGCCATGTGTACCACAGGGGTGGACCTTGAGGATGTTATGCTGAGTGAAATAAGTCAGGCAGAGAAGGACTGATACCATATGTTTGCACGTATAGGTGGATTAGGAGGAACTTAATGGAGGACCATGGGGGAGAAGAAAGGGAAAAATAGTTGGGGAGAGGGAGGGAGGCAAACCATGAGAGACTCTTGAATGCTGTGAACAAACTGAGGGCTGATGGGAGTTGGAGAGAAGGTAAGGGGGCTCATGGGCATGGAGGAGGGCACTTGTTGGGATGAGCACTGAGTGGTGTTATATGTAAACCAATTTAACAAGAAACTATTTAAGAAAAAATAAAAATTAAAAATTAAAATGATATTTTCAGATATTGATTAAGTATCTTGAGGCAAGGAGATCAACCTGTATGTAGTATAAAGGTGAATCCTAAATATATTTATATGTAACTTTATACCAGGGAATTAGAGGGAGATTTCACACCACACACACACACACACACACACACACACACACACACACACAGAAGTGATGTGAAAATGGAGTAAAGAAAGATTTCAAGATGCTGGCCTTGAAGTATGGAGTTAGGGAGTGTGTGGCAACAAGACAATGAAAGCTGGCAGCCACCAGAAGCTTGGAAGGAGCAAGTCGGGGATCCTTCCCTACAGCCTCTAGAGGGAGCTCTGCTGACACCTTGCTATTATTAGCCCAGTGAATATTATTCCAGAATTCTGGCCTCAGGATTGGGAAAGAATAAATTTCTGTTTTTTTCAGCCCTCAATTTATGTCAGTTTGTAACAGCAGCCACAGGAAACTGATGCAAGCATTGTACACAAAATAAGTTTTAACATTGATAGATTCTGATTGTTTAAACAGGTCATAAAAAAATGAGGAATCTGCTATTTTAACCTTGCCATTTCAGAGCTTCCTAGTAACATTGCTGGAGCAAGCAAAGGTAAACCATGTAAATTCTTTACAGAGATGAATTTTTAGTCAGACAAGGTTTATTTTTTTAATTTATAAAAAGTTTATTATTTCTGGAAAAAATAGAGTAATTTTTTATAGAAAGTGCTAATAATTAATTGTTTCCATTTTGAGAAAAGTTTTGATTTTCCCACAGAATTAATCTGAGTGATAGCTGTCTTCATGCCAATTAAAAACTAGTTAAACCTCTGGAAAGCAGACAGCATAATTATAATACTCTATCCTTGAAGACAACATAATTTGCCAAAAGGAACTTTAGAAGAGTCTACCAGATAAACTACTGTTTAATCTCAGTTAAGAGGATGCCTGACAATTGAGTTGATAAGGCTACCATTTAATGATAAGGGTAGCGAGAGGGAGAAGTGGGCTTCAAATGTAATGTAAAAAAAATCTATTATTTACATAGTAGTTTCATGAGGATAATTAGACCTCCAAATTAACATGTAAAGTGGCAATTCAATATATAACTAAGAAGTTCAGTTAAAGCATATCTTCAGGGCACATTGCTATGTGGTTATAATGTGTCCTAGGGCTATGGAGAGAGAGAAGAGAAGGGTGTCTCATGAGAAAACCAGGCATTATGCCACAATTTGATATGAGAATTAGGTTTGTATAGAATTGATTTCATACAAACAAAAGAACAAAAAGAAAGGGATACATGCAAATAAAATACAGTAAATGGAAAGTAAGTATAAATATCATACCAAAAAAATAAAGAAAAAGTTGGGAAGAAACATTTTAGCAAAGATTAACATTCATATTCGACATTACAGCAACGAAGACAAAACAAAGAACACCCAGGAACTCTATTAAAAAAAAAAAAAGAGAGTAGAATATGATGAAAATTGAGCCAGGCTAACTAAGGAAATAAATTAAGGAGAAATAACACAATTAGATACAATCAAGTGGAAATGAAGCAGAAAAGGGAGAATCAATAGTGTAGAAAGACATACCAGTTTTATGGAGGACAGGCTTAAGAAAATCATATATAATGTGAAAGCAAAGGATGAAGAAAGCCAACCAGTTTATATAAAGAATATAATAATTAAGGACACAGATCTGAAATAGTGATATTCTAGTTTCCCTGAAATGAAAAAAGGCAATGATATAGGATTTATTCAAATTTTAAAAAGGAGAAGAAAATATAGATGAAGTAAAGGAAACGACTCTAACAAAAATATAAAATGAAATAAATTTGACTATGGCAAAATTTACATTGATCTAGTTCTCCATTCTGCTTTGTGTTCACAGCCTTTGTTCATGTGACTTTGTGGTTTTTCCCACTGGGAGGAATTTATTTCTTGGCTCCTCTGACGATGGACTTGACCATGAAATTCACTTTGACCACAGATGTATGTGAGGCAAAGGTAGTGTAGAATGTATAAGCCTAGCATCAAGGAACATCACACATATTTTCTCTTGCTTCTCTTAAATTTCTTTCATCCCCATGAGAATTTCATCTATGTCCCAGTGTCCAAACATCTCTCTGGTATCTTCCAGTTCCACACTCAATGGTCCAGAAACGATAATAAGCATGGGAAGAAAATTGAGCTGAAACTAAACCTTAGAGCCATGTCTTACTGATTCCAGCCTATACCACATAGACCCCTGACAAACCCACCATTATGTGATCACATATCAATTACTATTTTAAATCAATGAGATTTTTAAAGCTATTTATTTATTTTGAGAGAGAGAGGGAGGGAAAGAGAGAGAAGAAGGAGTAGGAGGAAGGGGAGGGGGGAAGAGGGGGAGGAGAGAGGAGAAGGAGCAGAGAAAGAATCCCAAGCAGGCTTGGTCCTGTGAGCACAGAGATCAATGTGGGGCTCAATTTTAGGAACCACAAGATCGTGAACTGAGCCAAAACTAAGGATTGGATGCTTAAATCGATGGAGCCAACCAGATGCCTGTAAACCAGAGATTTTAGGTGAACTCTTACATGGTATTTTTGTGGTAATAGTTGATATATTCATTGACCCAAAAAAATCCATTGATCCAATTAAATTTAACTTTAAAGAAATAATATAATTTGCAAAAATCCATGAAGGCACACGCTCCCAACATATTAAAATAAATAAATAATTTGGGGGAAATGAATACAGAAAAAAAAATCCCACATTTACCTCTAAAGAAAAAGAAAATAATAAACAAATTGATCTCAAAATTCTCAATACAATGGGATAACTCAAAAGTGTATTTAAAAGACAACAGCTAGAGAAATTTTTAATATTTTAATCAGATGGCTTAATTCCCGTTTTTTCAAAACACAGCAGTGACTTATACCATACTTAGATTAAAGTACAAAGTGCTATTTCCTAAATGACCTGATCGAAAGCTAGATCTCTAATCTCTTAAACAACCTCTCTGTCACTTAATTTTCTCTGCCCATTGTGGTCTCCATGATACTTGCAGCAAAGCCAATAATTTTTATAGCTTCAGAGTCTGCATTTGCTATTTCTTCTTCTTAGGCATTTCCTTCCTATTTCAGATAGCTTTTTCTCAGAGGCCTATCCCAATCACGTCTTTACAAACTATACTTCATATTCCTTAATATCCCCTACCTAGTGTACTGAATATTTTTTGTGTATCTTACATATTTATTTACCTGTTAATTGTATCCACAATGCAATAAGAGCTAAAATAAGGTTGAGGTTTTGGCTGCTTATGCAATGCTGTATAATCAGTATCTGAAAATTTATTTCAAAGGAAATAGTCAATAGATTATTAATAAATATTTTAACATATTGATAAACAAATGCTAGTAGTTAAGCAAATCCCTAAATAATTTTAACAAAAGTGAATAAGCTTTCTGCAGAAGTATAGAATCTACATAATTTCCAAATAAAATCAACTTCATATCACCCTCTGGACAACTGATCAATAAACAAATAAAAACTACAAATATCAGAACACAACAATGTAAATTACCAGTGGTAGCACTGAATGTAGTTATTAACATATATCTGTGTTAATTTAATAGACCATTATAGATATGAAGTTATGTTGTAAACTGTAAAAAAAATTTGTTATTTCATGAAACTCTTATGACAATTTATTTATAAAAACTGATGCAAAAATCTCAAACATGAAAAATTGATTTGGGAAGGCTATAGGAGAAGGTAAAGTAAATTATTTATTTAATTTTTATTTAATTTTACTCTATGTGGTCCTAAAGTTGCTAAATCAAGAGATAAAGTAAGGATTGATACAGACATGCACAGAAAATTCTATGAATAGAATGAAAGCATTCTATAATTTCCAGATTATAAGAAGAAAGTAGAAATGAAAGAATAATACAGATCATGAAGCACATGCTAGAAAACAAAGGCAATTGATAAGAAACATTAAAAAACAGAAAATCAAATGAGATGATGGAAATAAAAGCACAATTTTATGCCAGATAAATATATAGAAATACAACAGCTTCACATTCAGAATTACAAAATTAAATCCAACTGCCTTGGGTTATAACATTCAACTGTATACTGTTTACAAAGAGACATATCTAGAACAAAATGAAATAAAAACATGAATGTTAAAGAAGGAAAAGATGAAAGATGCAAAAGAAAACGGCTTCTACAATGTTAATGTCAGAAAGTAAATAAAATTAAAAGTAAAAAATAAATAGTAGCAAAATACATAAAACAATATGTATGAAATATGAAACAATAGAAATACAAGAAACCAAAGAACAATGTGTTTATCTCCTCTGACAGATCAAACTGACAAAAAAAAAAAATAACAGAACAGTTCTAAATAGACATATTTAAATTTAAGCCAAGAACACAACAAAGAAGACCTCTAAAAATCCATTAGATTTTTTTCTACCACATTAGAAGTGGTAGAAACTACATCACCAGCAATGAAACAAAATTAATGAGAAAATGTACAAAGCTATATGAAAAGGGACTCATAGTATATAAAGCAAACCAAAAGCATCATAGTGGCATGTTTAGAAAATAATTATAATGACCTCAGCAACTTAAAAAATGAAAAATGACCAAAACTATACTTAGAGATAAATTTATAGGCTTAAACATTTTCATTACTAAACAGGAAGAATGAAAATAAATTATTGAACTCAAGAATTTAAAAAAGAGAACATAAAAACAATTTAAAATAATGGTACCTAAAATACAAATATGGGGTGAAAACACTTTCAGTTAAATTGGGTAGAGAAATGCATTTAATGCTGCAAATTCCTTCTTAAACCTATCTGAGGTCCTTGGAATATATTAGTGTGCAAGTGGTCTATACTCAAGATCCATCTAATTCTCAAGGAACAGCTCATCCCAATATTGTCAAACTCTTTCAGACAATATGCCTTTAAAAAACAAAACAAAAACAAGCCTCACAACTACTTTAAGAGGCAAGTATATCCTCTAAACTAAAGTCATACTTTTAAAAAAAGATAAAAAGTAAAATCATAAAACATTTTAAAATATTTTAAGTGTTAGTATTTGACCAAAATTGATTATTATACTATAATTAACAATTCTCAAGGAGAAATTAAAAACACAAGTTTCTTGAATTTAACTTCTTTTTGTTTTATTTAATTTTGAGACAGAGAGAGACAGAGCATGAGGTGGGGAGGGGCAGAGAGAGAGGAAGACACAGAATCTGAAACAGGCTCCAGGCTCTGAGCTGTCAGCACAGAACCCAATGCAGGGCTGGAACCCACGAACCATGAGATCATGACCTGAGCCAAAGCCAGATGCTTAACCCACTGAGCCATCCAGGCGCCCTTCTTGAATTTTAAATAACAGTCATGTGTTTTATTTAAATTCAAAATATACTCTTCCTATTCTCACTTAAAAGTCCAAAGACCAAATTTTAAGTTAAATGTAAATCTAAAACTATTCTTTCCAATTCCTCTTTATGCTGAATCCACATAGATTCCTTCTCAAAGATTACGTTCTTTCCACAGTTGTTTTGCTTGGTGATTGGTGAGGTTGTTTCTGAATTGTACTGGTTCAACTTTAAGTCTGTAATGTGTCCAATTATATATTTAAACTGCCAAGGTTAAGTGTATGGTTTAGCACATTTTTCAATATGTGCAGTCATGTAACCACTACCACAGTCATGATATATAACATTTCCATGATGCCAAAAATCTCCCTGTAGCACTCTTTAGTCAATCCCTGGACCTTGGCAACCACTCAACAGCTTTCTATCATGATAATTTTGACTTTCCAGAATTTTGTATGAATGTAATGTTGACATATGTACACGGTGTATGTCATCCCAGTTTAAGATGCATCCCTGTTGTTCCTTGTTTTCAACAGTACATAATCCCAAACTCTAAACCACCCAAATATTCACCAACCAGTCAATAGATAAACACATTAATTATATATTTATACAGTGGAGTCATTCATATTTTAAAGAGACAAAAATATAAAGAAATAAGATCATTAGAGCTCTAGCCACATAACCACCATAATTTGGGAGACAAATCCATCTTGATCCTACACACTCCAAGACCCAGTACTTAGCATTACTAAACTCCAAGACACCATTTCATTTCTATACAAGTGAGGGAGTGAGTGTAGAAATATGTCTTTGGCTTTAGCCAAAAACCAGAAATAGACAGGCAGTCTGGAACACCAAGCAGTCTGTGCCAGTTGTCCAGGATCCATGATGAATTCATTAACATTCAATTAGGAAAAGTCCCAACAAGAACTTAATTTTGTCACAATACATTTACCACATCTAGAAGCCAACCATTCTATAAAATCTGCCTCCTAGGCAAAGTTCTCACATTTGTTTCAGCTGGAGAAACATACTCAGCAGATTTCTGGACCAAAGCGTCTGTTACTTGAAGCCTATGCCATGACGGGTAGACTGGGGGTGGGGTGGACTGGTATGAACCAAACTTCAGTATGTGTTCCTTAAAATACTTTTCCTCTCTATTTTAAATTCTATAAATTTCTCAGTAATAATTCCTCTGGGCACAAGCAGTATCTGCATATCCACTTACTGTAATTCTCTCTCTTTAAAATACACTCTAATATCTTTGTAGAGTAGTTTTCATTCTTGAGCTTGTGGACAAGTCTCTATATCCCTCCACAGAATCCTCTGCGGCCCCAAATGCAGAATGGAATTTGATTCAGTGTATTTAGTCATGTCTACATAAGCCTAGCTCTAACAATTTAAAGCTAAAAATTCCCCCGTGCTCTATAGAACAAGCAAACTCAGATGCCTTACATTTTAACTGCAGTAGAAACTGTTCAGCACATAAATGCTTAAAAAGACTAGAAATTTCTCTCTTTTTTTTTTTTTACAATCAAGTCTTTCCTTCAGCCAAACATTCCTGGGAAATCTTGTACCTGTATTGCAAGCTAGCCACAGCCTACAAAGTGATAAAGCCTGAGCCTACATACTAGCTTTGGGATTGTGACTACAATCTTGGTCGCCCATAGGACCAGCATTGGAGAGAACAGCACTTGTGACCATTGTTGTTTTTATGATTAAACTCTCCTTTTATTTGTCCCCACTTACAAAGTTCCCTGTAACACTGTGGTATATCTGAGATGCTCTTTCAGTCCCCATACAAGCTATACATCCCTTTTTCTTTTTGTACTTGCTTATACTTACCTAACCCATTCACCTTTATGTAGTCGCCTTTGACATTCCTGAAGAAACTGAAATCTTCCCCAAGATTCAAGTACTTTTTCTTACCTCTCTGCTTTTATAAACATAGTCACTCAACTGTGAACAAAACCTCCATAAACAAGGGTCACCAAATACAACATATGACATAGGACAAGTCCTAAAACTTGTAGTCCAGATGCCACTAGATATCATTAAGTCCAAATTCTACTGAAATCCTAAAGTATAAGACCAAAAACCATGTGGCTAGGTTTGCAAAAAGCCTATCCTCTTGTATATTTTGAGTTATATTTTGTGTTCTCCTACTCCACAATATCATGGAAAAGGTATTGGCGTCTCCCAGTACTGGATCTGTACTTTCCCTGCTAAGGTTTAAAAAAAACTTGTAAAAATTAAAAAACTCTGGTTATATAGAAGATAAAAAATGACCATTAATTTTTATACCAATTGGATTGGAGAACATAGTTAGTATGGGCCTCTTAACTGAACTCAAGAATCAAAGAATTCTATACACCCAATTAGTAACGATATCAAGCTTAAGAAGTGGGCTCCATGTAGATAGTCTGGCCAAGTAACATTTGTAGCACTGGGAAAACAGAAGAAATCCGTGATTTTTATTAACACAGAGATCCTTGGAGAAAGAGGATGACCTGGGCTACGCATGCCCGGTTTAGCCTTCTGTAGTACCTCTATGGAGAAGCAATTAATGGGAAGAGCAGCAGCAAGAATCTTACTGCTATCGGAGCATCATGGATATAGAGGTATCATGATTGCAGATAACTTCTTCCAACAGGTTTAAACAAATTCATCTCATGATAACTTTGTTCTCTTTGAAATATAGATTTGTGGTATTATAGTTGTATTATCAGAAGTTCTGGGGGGCACCTGGGTGGCTTAGTCGGTTAAGCGTCCGACTTTCGCTTAGGTCATGATCTCGCGGTTCGTGGGTTCGAGCCCCGCGTCGGGCTCTGTGCTGACTGCCAGCTCGNATAGGAAGCAAAGACCTTTTAAAAAATTCCTTCTGGCATAGACAGAATAAGCTCCCCGAGAGCAGGAAT